ACATAATCCTCTGGTAACTACCATTTCTTCTCTGTTCATTCTAGCACTCCCCACATTTTTAGCTTACAGTAGGTTGACCTGAGATTCATTATTACGAAAAAAGAGAAAAATAAATAGACTCAGATCACATTCATGCAAATACTATCCTGTTTCCTATAAGCCAAGTATGGTTCTATGGACTGAGAAGACAATAGTAAACAAACAATACAGAGAAAGTGCCCACCCATGGGAGCAAACGATCTAGCCAGGGATACAAAAGGGCAGAAAGAGAACTACATTACAGTGGATGAACATCCTTAGGAGGGGGTGTTCAAGGTGGTAGACAAGAAGTGAGGCTCCTCAGCCAGCCTGGAAGAAGATATAAGGATGGGGAGAAATCAGGGAAGGTATATATCTGTAAGCTGCTTCCAGAAGCACGTATAGGAACATATAAGATAGAAGCAAAGTATGCATAAAACAGAACAAACAGCATGTACAAAAGCACAGCTGGACCCATGTCTAGACCAAAACATGTGGCTTCCAACACAGAATAATATTCTGGCACATTGCCAACTGACACCCTTTAAACATTTGTTAAAGATCTATTTAATGGGGTAGAGGAAAATTATATTAATAAAAATATATAAAAGGGTTCACTTATTAATTCATTTCCACTGAGCTAAAGGAGTCACTTCTTTTTTTTTTTTTTTTTAAAGATCTTATTTATTTATATGACAGAGAGACACAGCGAGAGAGGGAACACAAGCAGGGGGAGCGGGAGAGGGAGAAGCAGGCTTCCCGCGGAGCAGGGAGCCCGATGCGGGGCTCGATCCCAGGACCCTGGGACCATGACCTGAGCCGAAGGCAGACGCGTAATGACTGAGCCACCCAGGTGCCCCAGGAGTCACTTCTGATAAAAATCAAAAATGTTTCCGGTTCTTAATCTCTCTTGCCTTTTATTCATGATTTTTCTAGACCCCTACCTTCTTGTGAGCCCACACAAAGAAATGAAAATCTTCAATATTTAAAAAGGGGTACATGTGTAAAATGGGTATGTTTCCAATTTATTCTAGTGATACTTTAGTGCCCCTTATAGAATGGCTCTGACATCTGAGTTGCCTCTCTAGACCCTTAGGCCCCCTCTGGTTAGATGGTACAGAGTGAGAAGGAAGGTCCAAAAATGAGGCTAAAAAGGTAGATGGAGACCAGATAATACAGAATCTTGCACATCATGAGAAGTAGTCTGTGTTATACCTTAAGAGCTACGGGGAATTGTTGAGGAAATCTGAAAAGGAGGAGCAACGATGATGCTGTTTTTGTAAACCAGGCTAGAGATGTTAGCAACTTGAGTAGGATGATAGCAGTAAGAATATAAAGTGGCATGTAGTTGAAAAAGAGTTAGGAACTATAATCAACTCTACTTGGAGATAAGAAGAAAGAAGCGGTGAGAATTAAGGATAAGTGTTAAGTTTTTTAGGCTTGAGCAGTTGGTAGATAAAGATACCACACACAGAGATAGGGTATAAAGGGACAAACAGGTTTGGGATGAAAAACGCTGTTTGGTTTATGCATGTTGAGTTTTGCACTTCTAGGACATCAAAATGAAGGTATTTATAAATATGACCGAGACCAGGAGATCTGAGGGTGAAGATAGATGTGGGTAGCCTCAGTACATAAATGGAATCCATGGGATGGAGGAGAATGTCTAGGGAAAGTTTATAAGCAGACATACATAAAAGGACATAGGGAAGAGCCCTGAGAATCTCTTACGTTAAATGGTCAGAAAGAGAGGAAAAACCATCAGAGGTAATAGAAGAAAAGCAAAAGATTTTCATGGCTTCAAGGATACAAGAAGTGGCCCAAAATGTCCAATGCTAGAGATAAAGAAGGAAAGAGGTATCCACTAAATTACCAAGAAGTCACTGTTTGTGAAACTTGCTGAAAATAGTTCTAGAAGGAAAGATTAATCCCACCTGCGGTACTAGTAGCCACGTGAATTTAAGCACTTGACCTTGACCAAATCTCAGGTTCTTCAGCTGTAAGTCATGAAAAATAAAAACCCTTCCTGCCTCGTGGTTTTGTCATCAGTATTACATTAAAATCTAAAAATACTATATAAACTTTAAACAGAGGGTATAGACAAGTGCTTTTGCAACTGTGTTGTTCTTTAAGTTGTTCACAAATGTCAATTCTCTGTTTCACACACATGGCTCAAAAGTCACATTTGACTTACACTGGCCAATATAATGTATCAGCAGAAGTTACTCACTCTTTGGGAAAAGCTGTAAGAAACAGTGCATAGTTTAACATGTTCTGTATTCCCTACAGCTAACATTATGGCAGCATGTTTCAAAACGAAGCTTTCATCATCCTAAATCCTTGAGTGATGACCAAGAGAGACTGACACACATTGGCATGTAATATAGGGACAATTAATCTCACTGTTTTAAAACACCAAGATTTTGAAATTATGATCACAGCAACTAATTGCAGTATAAATAACAGGTGAAAAAAGGACAGCCAAAAGGAAAATCCCATCTTAGAAGGTAATCAATGAGACATCATCAGGACTACCACACGCACTAATGTACTAATTTTTATTTTATGTCACAGAGTAATTCATTAATCCTCACACTTGATCTGACATTCTTACAGTTACAGAAAAGGTAAACAAGAACAACAAATGTACATAACAGAATTGTTAACGAAGATGCTTTCGTTGGGAAAGGATGAGACAGTCCATCAAAGACAAGAAACTAACTCCCCCACCACCATTCTTAAATACCGTTGTTTGTGCCCTAAATTTTCTTCACTCCTTAAAGTTCTACTTTGCACCTGAATGACTGGCTGTATATCTATGTTAGGCCAAAGACACAATGCACCAGTGGGTTATTAGAAATAAACAGAAAATCGAAAAAGTAACCAGGACCAAACTTTATGAGGGAAGAATTTTTTTATTCTTCACATGTTAACAGTCAATAAAAATTGCTACTGCCAAATGCCAAATTACTATTTGATATGCCTAAATGGAACATGTGTGCTGGAAAATGGCAATTACTCAGAACCAAGTACAGAAGTAGAATCCAGGTCAGAGTGAGGCACATGGGCCCACTGGACCAGCCTTTTCACCAAGGACACTGGATTGCCCTCACTTCCTTATTTGGGCCTTTGACCCTCCCATTAATTTTGACAAACCATGAAAGAGGATCATAACTGCTTCAATCCCAATGGGGTTGAAGTGAATTACATGAAAGAAACACTTAACAAGGGTTGTTTGTCTGCTGTGATCTTTTTGTTTTAAAGAAGGTAGGGAAACAAACAAAACATCCCACAAGTCTTCTTTTAGAAATGTCTTTGTCATTTACAAAGCATACAGATAAATTAGGATCATCATTAATAAGCACATCAAAAAAGTCTGACCACCATCTTTTGCTCTAAGATTTTTTGACCATTTCTAAATCCAATTTTGAACCATGAAGATGATGCACTCAGTCACTTTGAAAGCATAAATTGTAAATACTGAAAGCAATTTCATAAGGCTGTGTATGGGCCCAATAACCTGATTAACTGAGCAACAGCTCAAGGTGACTACTTTGAGGAGGGCTCATTCATTAGGATATACAAGCTCTGCAATGAGATGTTATATTGAACTTTGTGTCCCCAACTTCTTTTGTTCATAGGGAATCCTTAATAAACAGTTGCAATTCCAAGTCGTGAACTTAAGATTTTTTTCCCAAATTCCAGATCAACCCTGTTTCATTACCCCCTAATACTGCTTCTTGCCACTAACTAAATGGCCATTTTTCTGGGGCACCTGGGTGGCTCAGGCAGTTAAGCCTCCACGTTCCGCTCAGGTCATGATACCACGATACTGGGATTGAGCCCGCATTGGGCTTGCTTCTCCCTCTCCCTCCCCCTGCTTGTGCTCTCTCTCTGTCAAATAAATAAATAAAATCATAAATAATGGCCATTTTCTATTACTTGAAAATGTGACTATGTCTATTCTTTTGCCATGGTAGTTTTCCTCCTGGAGTCACTTGGCTAAATGGGCAGAAACCATTAAATCACAATGTGCTTCTCTCACAAATGTAACTACTATCACTAGTATAACAACTATTTTAATCTTAAAAACTATACCTCTGAAGTTGAGCGGGCTACTAGAATTATTATCCCAGCAACTTAACTGTGCTAAAACAATTTACTATAGCACGACAGGGAACAAACTAAAGCTAAGGCTCCTAAATCGGCTTCTAGAAGTTCGGCTTTCCGGGCCTTTCTCCCTCTTCGGGACGGCAGTACCAAACCCAGACAAATGTCGCTGACAAACGATGCCGTACGTTTACTCATCGATGCCGGCCCGCGCGGTCGGGAAATAGTGTTCAAGATACGCTTAATCTTCCCTGAGAGAGGAAACATTAAGGGAAGAACAAAAACTGCCTGAAAGAATCCTGTTGGATGTAAAATCACAGTATTTGCAATGAAATGAACAAAGATTGTAAACGCGCGATTACACACGCCGGGTGCTCTGCACACGTTAATTCACGGGGCAACACTGTGAATGGGAAGGTCAGAAAACCTGCAGCGGCTTTGCCTCCCTCGGTTTCGCACCTGAGGAAACTGGTGCTGGGAGCCAAAGCACGCACGCAATGGCGCAAAACCAAGGATCTGAAAGGAAGGGAGAAGGGATGAGGGGAGTCTATGCGGCGCTGCCACGTCTAGTCCGGGGGCCAGAGTCACCACCCCACTACTCTGGAAGCCACTGGATCCAGGCAACGAGGTCAACTCTACGCCCACCCAAAGAAGTTGTCACCCTCCAAGGTCGGGGGCGGGCCAGCACAGGGCGAGGCGGGGCGGGGCCCAAGAGGCGGGGCCGCTAGGGGGCGGGGCCTGCGCGAAAGGGGCCGAGGGGCGGCCCGAGCCTGCAGCCCGCGCCTGGAGCCCGCGCCTGGAAGGCAGTCTGTCCCGCTTAGAGGAGAAGGGGGGTGGGGGGGGAAGAGTGCTGAGGTGGCGTCGGGCGGTACCTGCGCTGGAAATCCAGGGCGAAGGGTTTCAGGTACGGGTCGATCTCCAGCAGTCGAGCTAGTTCCGGCACGTCCGCCAGGGCTGCAGCCAGCGCCGCTTCGGAGCAGTCGGCCCGAGCGTCGGAAGCCGCCATCTTCTGGTGCAGCCCGAGTAGCCGAGCCCGAGAGGGTCGATTGGAACCTGAGCGGGAACTGGAGCTCCAGCTGGGAGGAAGGCGGCGAAGGCGGAGCCGGAGGACGCTGAGGCGAGCTTCGGCGGCCCAGGGCCCTTTATAGCGGAAGAGAACTGCCGTCTGCCCCCCCCTTCCCCCCTTCTCCTCCTCCCCCGGCGGCGGGGCGGAGCGGGACCCAGGGTGATTCCCGGACGCACCTCCCGAAGTGGGGAGGGGGTGCTGTTAAGCGCCCAGGGCCCTCCGCCCACTCACGCGGCTAGCGCCTGAAGGCTGGGGAGACCTGCCCCTTCCTCCCCAACCTCTGGGCCGAGGCCACCCTGGCAGGCGGGCCCCGGCCGCCCCCCGCCTTAGCTCAGCCTTGCCCTCCCTTGCCCTGACCGCACTCGGCTCCAGAGCTAGCCCTCAGCTTTTCTTCTGTAAACAACTCCTACTGGTGGCATCCTTTTCAAATGAATGCGTGGTTTTCTTGGAGGGGACCTTCTCCGAGTTCTGAGAATTTGTTGTTAGGGCAGTATTGCACACAGATCAAATAAATTCACTGAGGGGAACAGTCGAGTATGGGTACAGTAATACCTTTGAGAATATTCACGCCATTGCCTAACCAGAACTCCTGTTGCATGAATTAACCAAAAAAGTCGGGATCGTGGAATGGTCCCAGGGATACTACAATGTTCTGGTTCTATTCTCTGGGTTGCCAGTGGCTGAGAATTGAAACCATGCCAAGAACTTTGCCCATTTACCACACCTCAAAAAGAAATAAAGGTAAAAACAAAAACACCTTTTTGCCTTAGTTTGTAATTGTTAACATGTTTTTCAACGATTAAACAGAACTATCCTTGATAAGACAAATGGCATAGGGAAGAACATTACATTGGATTTCAACTGTACCACTTACTAATGAAGGGCTAATGCAAGAAATCTCTCTTCCTCTTGGCTTAAGAAGGGGGAAGCCTATGTAAACTTCCCCAATTGGAACTTCCTTACGGTCTTTCAGTCCCATTAACTGACTTCTAGCTCAGTGATTCTTTTTGGAGAATACAAAATTGTATGTACATGGAGAGAATTGGGCCCACCAACCCAAGAGTTTCCAAATTGCTTTGAACCTAGGAACTGGAGAGACTTTGAGTCTCTTTCCCAGTTAAGACGGGTATGGAGAAGGAAGAGTGTTGATTAGCATTGCCCTTGAATTTTAAAACATTCAGAACATTTTTTGTGAAAGGGTTAATAAAGGAGTGATACCTAGCAACAGAGGACCACAAAGTCAAAGAGTGGAGGACTTGGACAACCTTCAGAAAGGCATGTCTTACTTTCCATGAAGATGACAACATGCAAATGCTAGTAAAATATAAAACACTGTAAAATAACACTTGAAACCCAGAAGCAAGTTACCCAATAGACCCACAAATCTGTATCTCCAACCCTAAACTTTTCTCAGAAATCCAGGTTTGTGTCACTATCTGCCTACTGAAATCTCCATTTAGCTGGCTAGAAGACCTAAACCAACTATCTCCAAAACACCGCCTAAATGAGCTTTCCCATCCTTTGTGCTGTCACTCATACAAGCAGCCTCTCATTTGGACTAACATATCTAACTGGTTTCCCTCTTTACGGTTTCTCACCTCTAATTCGTTGTCTGGTGTTTCTCAAGCTTTAATGTGCATATAAATCCCTTGATGATGTCACTAAAAGTACTTAGTCTCATTCAGTTCTGGATGGTACCTCAGATTCTGCAATTTTAACATGCAGCTGTTGCTGGTTAGGGGCACAGTTTGAATAGTAAGGCTCTACCCAAGGAATAAAAGATACAACTTAAATGACATGCTGGTTCACTCAGAGTTAAATATAAACCTCTTACCATTCCCTAACAAGCCTTGTGTAATCTGGTCCCTGACTATGTTTCCACCACTTTTCTCATCACCTTTTTTCATCTTATCAGGCTTTACTATTCTTTATAAATACTGACTTTCCTGGGACTCACTGAGAACTTTGTAGCCTTTGAGACCTTTTATGTGCCCTTTTCTGTTGGGAATTCTTTTCGTGACTCAGCTCTACATGGCTGGTTTCTTCCCAGCATTCCTTGAGATCTCAGCATAAATGTCAACTCATCTTGAGAAGCCTCTGCTTCCACTACTTAAGTAAGATCTTCAGCATCTGTTACAGCACTTTCTCCCCTATGCAGCAATTAACAAAATTTAGGTGTTTTTTTTTTTCTCTCTATTTTACATATTGATCTCCCCCTTTAGAATGTAAACTCCAAGAGAGCAGGGAACCTATTCTCTCTTACTCACTATTGAGCAAGTACTTAATGAAGTCCCATGTGACAGCCAGTTCAGTCTCCTAGGTACTGGGATTAAATGGTAAACAAGACAAGTCCCAGTTGTCATAAAGCTTACATGGGGTGTGGGGGAAGAGAATGTCAACTAACATAAGAAATACTTCTCAAAATCCATAAATGCCCAATTGTAATAGATGCAATAGTATTAATTGTAGAGAATTAAAATTAAGCTAATATGTCTGCTTTAGTTCTGGTGGTAAAGGAGGGCCTCTCAGAACTGACATTTAAGCTAAGTATAATGACAAGGAACAAGCCATGAGAGGAAGAACATTGCAAGTAAAGAGTTTGCAATGGGGAATGAGTTGATTTAGTCACAGAAAAAATTCTGGTGTACTTGCTGTCTAGTGAGAAGGAGAATACCAAGAAGTAAAATGTGAGAGCTAGGTAGCTGTTTGATCATGTAGAAGCTCTAATTTAACTATGATAGGATGCTAAAGAAGGGTTGTGAGCAGAAAACTGATTTAATTTGATTTGCATTTAAAAAATATTTTCTCTATGGAAAATGGATTATAGGAATACAAGAATGGGAGCAGAGAGACTATTAGGATGTCACTACAATGCCTAACTGGATATATATTCCTTTAAATTCCTCCATTAAAATGTTCAAAAACTGGATGAGGCAAAGTTTACACAATTCTATAAGTTACCAAAAATCACTGAATTATACATTTAAAGCAATTCTATAAGTTACCAAAAATCATTGAATTATACATTTAAAGTGATTTTATGGTGTAAATCTCCAAACGTATATCCACTTATTTCTGGATTAAATTCAGCAGAGGCAGTAACCAGCTAAACTTCCCCTCTACACCTGCCAAGCCTCTCAGAGGACCCTGGAGGTACAGATTGTCATTTTATCGTCAGACTTGTTCACCACCTCTAACCTCTCTACTTAAATGGCCAAGTGCTGGGTGTTCAATGTGATGGTAATTGTCACTGCCTGGAAGTCAGTGTGAGGCAAACAACTTTTTTTCAGAGACAGTGCTTAATTGTTTTTAGATGATAATGATTTTCAATTACTTTTGTCGCAAGTTGGTTGAGAATCAGTGACCTAAAGGTGAAAGGCTCTCACTTTTGTGACAAATCCTCTGAACATCTTGTCCTCCCCACTAGAACTTAAACAATTTTCTTTGGTCTCAGACCTACCCAATCAAAATGGCAGTTTTTATTTCACTAGGCGTTACCGGCTTCCTTTATGCCTTTATGTTATCTCCGGTGATTATTTTATATATGTGAAATTTTCAGTACTTCTCGATTGCTCCTTATTTGAAAATTTTGCAAACGTTTTAGGCATAAAATTTTGTAAGAAAGGATCAGATAGCTGAGCTGATCATAATGGACTTATTCTAAAGAAGACTGTAGTGCTTCTTTACAATAATAGCTAATAATAATAACACACTGCTTTCCACAGGCGAGGCACTGTTTTAACCATTATGTGGTGGGGTGTGTATGTGTAAAATCCTTTAGTTAACCCTATGATAAAGGTACATAGAGATGAAGAAAATTGCTTAAGGTAATACAGCTAGTAAGAGTCAGTCAGGATCTGACTCCAGGTACACTTTTACTCTATGATTTTAAGAACTATTTTATCCTACCTCTCAGAAAGATGAATATGAAGAAAAATATGTAGAAGAGTTTTTTAAGACTTCAAGACAAAAATTAGACGAAATTTAAAACACCGTCTATCTATCAACCTTACCTGAATGAAACCCAGGTCCCTGGCAAACTTAACTGGTCCACAACAAAACAAAGAGCCAGGAAGTGGACAAAAAATAAAAAGACTTTTTACATATAAAATTTAAGTCACAAAGCCCATGGATTAAAGCCTCATGCAACTACCATCACCTATTATGATGGCTTGAATGGTGGCTCCCCAAAAGATATGCCCATGTCTGAATCCCCAGAAACTGTGAATGTTAACTTATTTGGGAAAAGGATCTTTGCAGAATAATTAAGTTAAGGAACTTGAGATGAGGAGATCATCCTGGATATCTAGATTATCTGGTTCCTAAATCCAATGATAGTGTCCTTAGAAGAGACATGCAGAGCAGACAGACACAAGAGGAGGAAGTAAAGTGATGGTGAAGGCAGAGATTGCAGTGATACAGACATAAGTCAAAGAGTATCAGTAGGCACCAGAAACTGGAAGAGGTAAAGAATGGATTCTCCCTAGAGCCTCCAGAAGATACATGGCCCTGCTGACACCTTGATTTCAGACAACTGATCTCCAAAACTACTAGGGAATATACTTTTGTTATTTAAATCAGGACAGAAGAACTGTTTTAGGACATTAATTGGCATATTTATATACCATCTATTTAACAAAAGGTATTTGAGGGGCGCCTGGGTGGCTCAGTCATTAAGCGTCTGCCTTCGACTCAGGTCATGATCCCAGGGTCCTGGGATCGAGCCCCACATCGGGCTCCCTGCTCAGCAGGAAGCCTGCTTCTCCCTCTACCACTCCCCCTGCTTGTGTTCCTGCTCTCGCTATCTCTCTTTCAAATAAATAAATAAAATCTTTAAAAAAAAAAAAAAGGTATTTGAGGTGGCTAATAAAAATACTTGGGGTGGGGGGGACCCTGGGTAGCTCATTCAGTTAAGTCTGCCTTCGGCTCAGGTCATGATCCCAACGTGCTGGGGATCAAGCCCCACATCAGTCTCCCTGCTCAGAGGTGAGTCTGCTTCTCCATCTCCTTCTGCCCCTCTGCCCTTCTTGTGCATGTGCTCTCTCAAATAAATAAAATCTTTTAAAAAAATTCTTTGAATATGTAAAACAATACATGACAAAAGCAAAAAACAAAACAAAAAAATCTTGGAATAGAGAAAATCTATAGCATTTGAGTTCAGACCTTAGTT